TCTGACTGCTTCCTGATTCCTACTTGTGATTCCTTTGMACTGTGACCCCCTCCAGCTTTTGCTGCTTTACGATCTATCGCTATCTCCTCACCTCTCATTTCTTCTTTGGATTAAAACTGTTATCTTTCTGACTGCCTTATGTTTTTTACCATGGTTCCGTGCACAGCAATATTCAGACTTAAAAGGAAAGACAAAGGTGTCAGCAGGAGCACTGATGACTGCATTCCTAATTAAAAAGATATGAATAACACCCCTGTTTTGACGTCAAGCGGTTGTAAGACGAGTTAAATCAATTAACTAGTCATCAGGGCACTAAAGCCTGTGTGCAGGAGGAACAGCTACTGTGTTTATTGCCTTCACAAGCCGCGACTCCAGTTCTCCAACGCTCAGCCCAAGAGCCGAGGAGAAGCCACAAGCCGGTCCCGTTTGCCCTGGCGAAGGAGCAGTCTCYGAACCCGGCTTCGGGACGACATCCACAAGCTTTGGGCCCTCGGGAACCTCGGAGATCTTCACTTCTACTTCTGTCGCTATCACAGGCCAAGCGGCATCGGGCTGGCTATTCCTCAGCTCCTGTACCTGCCAAGCAGACAYGCTCACCCTGACTTGCATGTAAAAGGCTTGAAGCTCTCTGTTAAAACACCCAACGCAGAGGTCAACGGCAGCGTAACAAATGAGGTTAGAAATAAAGCTGTGGGTCAGGAGCATGGCGATTCTGGATCCATACTGAAGAGATTTACAAATAAGAATTAATTCAGCTTAACAAGATTTTGCCTGCTAGGGCCTCAGGCAGCTTGAAGGACAAACCTTCACCCTTCTTGAAGCTGCAGCTCATCAGGAGAATGCTTCTGAATTTCGTGAGAGCAAATATTTGTTTCTTAACATAGGGATTAAAACTAGACGACGTTTTAAGATTTTGCTCTTGTAGTTTTCACTGTTCTGCTACACAAAAATCTGAGGAAAACCAGGGAAATACGGTTTGTAGTTTGACAAGAGCTCAAACACTTGTCTTTTTGTTCCCTTCAAATACACCAGAGCCCTTTATAAAAGCAAGAAATAATTCATCTGTCCTTCGCCTTGGCTCATGCAAGATGTATAAGTACATTCAAATTTTACAATATTTACTGTGCAGGTCAGAGATTAATGCCAGTTGCTTTCATTATAGTTGATGCAAATTCCCTGAGGAGTACCTGGAAAAGTAAGGGAGCGCGTGAGAGAGAATGGAATGAATTGCAAATACGCAGAATTGTTAAGTGCTCACTGATGCCTCATAGAAATCTCTGAGAAATGGTCTATTTAGAGCCCATCCAGGGGTATGGAACAGGAATCCCAGCAGGGACAGGCTCAGCAGCAGCTGCAGGCGATGAAGGAAGGGACCAGTTGGGCAGGGAGCTCTACAGAGATACTTTGGTAAATGCTGGGTTTGATGAGACACATGGGTGGAGGAGAAGCCTTGGAAATCTCAATGGGTGGGCCAAATTCCTTGGATATTTCCCAATTCTGTTCTTAGGAGCTGCCTCCTCGAGGCAAGTGCGCAGTGGTGGCCACGTTGGCTGGACCACCAYGGCCCAGCACCCAGAGGAGATGAGAGGACCAGGAGGACCATCTCACCTGCTGGACACCCAGCACCCTCCCCAGGCCCCTTCAGATACCCAGGTAAACTGACATCCTACAGACAAAACATACAAGGGACAAACAGCAAGAATTTAAGCTCCCTTCACTCGAGGTCTTGTGCTTTAACCACAAGAGCATCCATCTAGTCTCTCTAAGAATTAGCCTGATACCTAGAATTGCACAATGAAACCAGCAAGACATATTTTAAATGATGGAGCACTTTGGAAAACAGATTACAGCAGAATACTCTTATAAAGAACTATAATATAGTTTGGGCATAGACTCCGCAGAAAGACACATGCCATTAATTCTTGTATTTTCCTAACTGCTTCCTTTTTCCCTACCATCAGGAAGCATGAAAACACACGATTTCACACCAGTAGCAGCTGCATCAAGCTCTTTATCAGATACGACAGCTCGCATGCAACACGGCAATCTGGGTACTCAGGAGGGAATTACTTCATTAGTTTAAATGTCAAATTTCTCTTTTCCATTTCTATTAATGAAGGATTGATCTAGCATTCAAATCAGCATCATTGTAYAGTAGCATAAAACCTATCATGATAGTCCACTTTTAGCTGACCAGAATGCAGGACAACTCCAACATTTCTGTCCTGAACACACGACAGGAAGGGATCCACGGCAAGCAAATCCAAACCCACAGCAAATTAATCTTGGGCTTTTCTGGACTAACTTTAGCTCTGCTTAAACACAGCTGCTCAGAGAAGCAAAGGAGATAGAGGAACACACTGGCTCCCATAGTCAAAGTCAAGGTGGGCTCACAGAGGAGGTAAAATCACCTGCTCTTCCCTGGCTATTTTGCCCCATCCCTGCCCTCAGACCATCTCCCAGCATTGTTCCTCCAGGTGAGGCCATCTGCAGCAAACAACAGTGTCCCAGGCACACACAGTTTGTGTCACACCTACATTAGCCCTGGCAGCACATGCAGGGGACAGGGAGGCACCACTGGGTGCCCACTGTGGGTTCCAGCACCTCAGGGGGACCCTCTGAGAACCACCCACAAGGAACCTGAGCTGCTGCTCGATCCAAACACGTGTGGTGACGGGCATCGTCTGGAAATAGCTGCTGGGTATTCGCCAAGGAGCTCGCTAATTTATTGTTCTTCAGGGTCATTAATGAATCTGATGGTGGAGATGCCTGTGGCGCCCCATAGCCCATGATGGGGGTCCCAGAAACAGCCAGCACAACGTCGGGTTGCGGTGCAGGAGCCCGGTCAGTGGTGGACACCCTGGGGCCGTTCCCACAGACAGTATTTTAAGGCCTCCTCCTCTTTTGGCAGACACTTCTGAAGAAAACCAAGAGGCCAAGCATCGCTCATCCCTTCTGGGAAGCGGAGCCCCTTGGAGGACAGCAGCTCTGGACGGATATTGCCCGGGATAACGACCCTACCAGTCCTCCAGCAGAGCTCCTCAAACAGTGCACTGTTGCTGAGGATGACAGCTAAATGAAACACCTAAATGAGGGACTACGGAGCAGGTGGTACAAAAGGCAAATGGTTTTACCAATGGTGAGACYGAGCTCTGGACGCTGCGTGTTCTCCCAGGATTCTTGTTTCTCAGGCAAAATGAAAAAACTGTAGAAGTCCAGGGAAGATCCTGAGGAAATGGGTGACCATCATCCCAGCTGCTAAGGGAAATGGGGAGTTTTCCTTCACTGGGTGTTTTCCCGTCAAGGCATTAGCCAAACACAGCGTGTGCCTTAGTCAAAAGTCAAGCAGGAAACACAGGGAGGWCAGACTGGATCCACTGATGCCTTCTAGCCTTAAATTCTACGATTGTAAGGAGAGAAATAGGTTTCCTCTCCCTTCCTTGGCCCTTAAGGAAAACTAGTCTTTTAATCTATTTAGAAGCCCTTCCTGACATTCTTTAGCTGCAGTTTTTCTCCATCAATCTAATCTTTTCCCATCAAGCTCCATGCTAATCCCATCTTGCTCCACTCCTTAAACTAATAAAAGATTAGAGTGACATTTCAGAAAGGGCATCGTATTAAGCAGCTACTTCCCCWTCTCAACAGATGACACAGTAGAAAATGTAGTGAACAGGCCATTAATCTTATGGTAATGAGGTGTCAGTCCGCATGGAGACCTCCTCCTTGATCAATATGAAGGGYACAGGAATAATGAGGACGCTGACGCTCACCAGCTCTGGCAACTTGGCCAGAGGCAGCAGATGCTCCGTGCGTGGCGATGGCTCCTGGCACCCACCACGTCGTTGTGTCCCCACGAGGAGCTGGGACCTGCCGCCCCGCACGCTGCCCACCCGTGAGGAGCATCTCCCTATCTTCTAATTAGGGCTGTAAAACCATTTCACACTGTCACGCTGCGCTCTAACAGGAAATCAATCAGGATTACCGGCCACACGCAGAGGACTGCTTCTCATCTGGTCACTGGTGACAAGCTACATAGCTCCTACCGTGGACAAGCTCCTCCTGGAGAYGTCCCTGCGTGGGGATACCCCACTCACTTTTATGCATTAAGATTTAAAAGCAACATTCTCCTTTTCTTTCAGAGAACACAGTTCCCCTAAAAGAAACTACAATCAGCTACTGTGTTTCCGGAGAACTGAGATTCTATCGTGTGCTGAGAACACCTTCCTAAAGAAGCACAAGGCACAGCGTGGTTGGTGGTGTCTGGTGGCATCCTGGCACTTGCTCTAATAGGATGCTCTTCCCAGCAGGGAAGTGGGCTCCTTGCTCCATGCAATGCCATGGAGCTGCCGGAGCCCAGCATGACATAAGGAACCAGCTGGAGCATCTTAAGGGCTTAAAAATAATCAGAAGGCAGCTCATCTGGGAGCCGCTGGAAGGCACCAAGGGAGACACGAGCAGCACGTCCTCCCTTTCTCAAGCAGCCCTTTTGCATATGGGTTTTGCTTTTACATTTGCTTTTTTTTTTTTGCAGTTAATGAAGAGAAACTGTTGTTTGGCAGGGCAAAAAGAGAAGCTACCGACGGCCACAGTGCCCTGCAGTTCATCTCTGCAGTCCGTGCTTTGCCATGGCTTGTGTCTGTACTTCTGATATAGTTGGGGGCTCTACAAACCTCCCCCTGGAGAGGAATTCATCCTTTCTCTTACTTTGACACAGGCTAATCCTGCACTTATACTGTTGAGGTCACTGTTGTGCCTTGGTACAGCATGTTAATGTTAAATATCAACATAACAGAAACTGATTCAAGGACAATATTTACCAAAAGATAAATTTTTAACCATACAGCCCATAGCTAAGGCTTCACTCCAGTTTTCATATCTAATTTAACAGATAAAAGAGATGCAGTAAGACAAAAGGTTCTTCTTCCACACACAATTCTGAAAATTCCTACCTCTCCATCTTTTCTGTATTGAATCTGTGTTGATAGAGCTCAGGCCTTTACCTGTATACTGTGGTGGGTGGAGAATTGAGCGTGTCGTAGATGAGCCTCACGTGTCCTTGGTACAACTCCAGAGCCAGTGGATCATTGTCTCCCTTGTACAACAAGATGCCATTGTCCTTGTCCGTTGCTACCTATGAAACATGAACAGCCACGTAAGGTTCCTTAAGAACGATTAAAATGCACACAGAAAGCATACATTAAAATAACACAGAAAACACATGCACTTGAATTATTAAGGAACTATATGCATAGTTAACAAAGGCAAGAAGAAATGTGAGATCCCAAAAGCTCTTGGTGACCTGGAGGGGGCCTGTACACCAACACTTYGGCTCTCTGTGCTGGGAGGGCTCCCTTACTTCCAAAGGGAGCCTGGTTCCCGCTCTCTCTCACTAGACTACGGCACTATTTTTGGCCACATATGGGTCTCATTTCTCAGTTAGTTCCCCATTTTGAGCTGGAGTTTTGGAAGATCCACTCTAGGAGAAGGAAGTTTATCACAGTCAGAAGCAAACACGTTCTCAGAAGGTGCTGCTCTTCTCGTAGACCTTCTAAAAGCACAAGAAGGAAAGCAGGGCCTGTCCCCACACCTAGTCCAAGCTGTTCTCTCAACTCGAGTATTTAGCAAGTCGTGCTCAGGTCAGATGGGAAGTTTGGAAAGACACAACAGGACCCAGGAGCCTTCGTCCCTTTGGCTCTAAAGCACACCAAGAAAAGGAAAGCCTCATGTCCACATCAGAATCCAAATACTCTGCTTTTCCTGGCTCCACTGTCTCTACAGCACAGAAAATAAAGAGAGAGACTTAATGGGGATTTTGGCTAGAACCTGCCTCCATTATTTTCACAACATAAGCTTCTTGAGGYTATTTGGTTATTTGATTAGGATGGCAGCTAAATGCCAGAAGTAAACAGACAGTAAATTTCTTTTTGCATTGACGTGTTACTTTAGTACTGTCCTTTAGCCCTTGAAAGATTAATTTCCTTTAACACTTTTAATAAGTTTCTTCTATCTGGTTTTAATAATCAGTGCTACATTCTAGTTTTAATTCCCTGACAATTAATTTCTGGATGCAAAAATATTATTCAGCCTGGGAAACAAGAGGAGAGAGGTTCATCTGCAAGTACTTGCTGTAATAACCGGATTTATTCTTCAGGCTATGGTTGAGGTAATGCATGCTTTGCAGACCTTCCTTAAGAGGACAATGTCCAGATTTTCAGCTTTGGTGTGGGGGAAATCTTTGGGAACATGTGTATTTTAGAACACCTTAGAACCTTTTCTAAATAAATCCTCTCTAAATAGAAGAGAATTTGTAAGAAAAATTGAAAGTGTCCAATATACGTGAGTGGGTGTCATTTTTCATATGAACTTTCTATTCAAGTTGCTGAAGAAAAGAAGCATTAAGTGCAGTTTGATCAGCAGAATAAATTTTGCAGGAACCACCCATATAAGCTTTTACACATCCCCTCCTTCGTGGAAATATGGTCTATTTTTCCATGTCTTGACATGGGTATTTTAATTACAATTAAACTACAGAAGTCAGTCCAGAATATGATTTCCAACTGTGGAATAGTCTCTTTGAATTGAGAATAATAAATATAATAAAACAAATATACAGAGATCTTTCTCCTCACATCTTCTGAAACGTTATGCTCCCTTCGCAGGGTGAGTCCAGWATGGAAATAATCCAGATTAACAATCAGTGGCCTAAAACACAGATGCATAAGGTCTCATGTGTTCCACCCATCTCTTTATTAGAAAAACATACAAAGCTAAAGATGATTCCTTCATTTATTTGAGGTTACATCAATTAATGCCTATTAAATTGCAAATGCAAGCAACTTCCCAATCTCTTAAACATGATTTTGGACTGAGTATCCAAAATACCTTTGATCCAAAAAACACAAACCCCACGGCAGATGCATGGTAAATACRGTGTCCCATTTCCACTGCCTTTTAAATCTTAGACCTCACACCAAATTTGAGTGYAACATTAGGCCTGTAACAAAATCCCGAGCCTTTCATCTTGGGACCATGCACAGTAAACAAGTAAGCAAAATAATGCCTGGAAAGGCCATTTAGAGGAGCCTCCCTTAATAGGCCTCCTAATAATAAGCACTAATTTCTGCAGGAGGAAAGACGTCTCTATACTGTAAATCAGCAAGACGACAGTGAAGCATCCTCGTATCATCAGCAGCTACGCTGCCAGCCTTGGGTATCAAAGAGGGGTGAGATTATGGGGCAGGACACGTGTCCAAACGGGTGAGGTGAAGTCTTTGTGGCTCCTTAATGCCGCAATGGTTCCAGAGCAGCCAGCAGGCTCGTTAGCCGGCTCCAACCGCGGCTGCATCCCGGCCAACAACATTTCCTCTCCCTTCAGGAGGGAAACAACTAGTTATTTTGCTTGGAAGCCCCTGAGGCTGGTGGCACTGCCATGCTCAGCCTACCTGGAGGGAGATGTTGGCCTGCGGGCGGATTTTGGCTGACGGCAGCTCCACGTAGGAGTCCTTCCCGACGAAGTTGACGGTGATGAGCTTCTCGCAGCGCTGCCCGGCGAAGCCGGCGAGGCAGCGGCACACGGGCTCCTGGTGCACCACGATGCACTGTGCCCCGTGCTGGCACTCGTAGTTGTCGCATGGGCTCGTCTGCAGCAGCACCATGGGTGGTGGGTTCTCGCAGAAGAGGCCGCTTTGGAGGGAGCAAACACAGCCTCAGTTAGTGCTTCTTCCTGCCTCCTCACTTGCTTTGTGGTGTATCAGAGAGCACAGAATCACACTGACACCACGCTTTTTGCTGGGCTTTTTTCTGGGGTTTTTGCTGGGCAACATGTTATTTCTACAGCAATGGGCTCCTCTGCTTTATTGCAGCTGAGTTTCTGGTTGTTCGTGTCACAGACCAGCAAAAATGCCAAGGGGAGGGAGATCTCCGAGAGCCAGAGGAGGCTGCCCACCAAAGGCAGGTGGGAGTACTTGGGAAGGCAAATTCCCAAGCAGGGAAGCAGGAAGACCTGCTCAGGTCTTCCCGACTTGGAAACTCAAGGAATTTACAGGCAGTCTCACTTGATACCATGAGAATGGAAACCAAAAGGCCATTTCCATGTATAAATAGTACCAATACTAGGCGTGCAAGAAGAGCAAATAAAAACAGCCATGACATCTTGAGCAATAACCTCACTTGGCCACCAAAACCAGAACTACCCTGTCCTATAAAGGAAGGGAACCTCTTTCCTCCGCAGCAGTGGCAGGAGGAGCACAGCCTGCCTGGCAAAGCTTGGCCAAGCCCACAGGACTGGGTTCTGCATGCTACACTCTCATTTATTTAAGCAATCAYGGTTGAATTTCCTGCAAACTATCCCAAATTATCTCAAACGATCCCAGTGGGGAACTCTGAAACATCCACGCAGTGGAGGAATTAGGCTTTACGTGGAGCTGAGCAATTTTAATATGTGCTTCCCCAGCAGAGAAACACTCATCAGGACAGCACTACTGCGAGGCAGATTGCAAAAGGGAAGGTTTCATAACTTGGTTTTATCCAATGGGGTTCACAAATTCTAGGCAATGTGTTCACCTGCAGGGGGTAAACGGATTTTATTTTGGGCAAAAAACACACAGAAAGCATCTGAGGAAGAAAGTGTGTTACGTGATTGCAAAGAGGCACTTGAGCTGAGTGATCCCCTAGAGTGCTGCACAGAGCCCAGCGACCAGTGAGCCCTTAATAGCAAATGCTGAAAAGGAAGAACGAGTTTGTAAAAGATATTTTTTTGAGTCTGCAAGCCCTGTTGCATTTGAATGTGGGGCCCTGCACTGCTAAAAAATAACAGAGGTGGCTGCTTGTCCCACCATGCTTCATGTGTGTGAGGGAATGAGGTTTTAAATGCAACGATCGTGTCAGGTAACTAGATAACTAGTAAACTCCAGGTAACTGGGAAGCCTCACTCACACTAACACTCACTGCCAAGCAAAGACTCTTGATATTTAGTCAAAAAGCTGCATGGATCTTCCTCTGAGGTCCCCTGGTTATCTTATGGCGCTTCATCAACACCCACATCCTGCAACTACCTGCAAGCTCCCCTTGCCTCAAAGCAAGAGCCTGGGGCAGACTCTGCGAGCTTCCAGGCTTGTGCTTCACAAGCCTGAACTCTGTTAAGCTCCACACTGACAACTGCAGTCTTGAGAGGGGCAAAAAAACCCCAGAAACCCCTTCAGAGCAGGAGGCCTTTAAAGTGCAAAAGGCTGGATTCATGACAAGAATAATTAGGAGATCCTAATTTGTTACAAGAATTTTCATCTTGAACTCCATCCACACAGACACTGCTCTGGTCTACAACTCCCTCCCAGCACTGGCAGCCCGGGCCTGGCAGCGACCACTGCCACTTTTCTCTCCTACAAGACACTTGTCCCTTTGGATCTTGATCAGGACATGCAGGCAAATGGCATGGACCAGGCTATTATATTGCTCACCCTAGTCTTCCTTGGGTTATAAGGTGTTGTCTAAGCTGGCAGTGGGATTTTGGAGCTTCATGGAGAGTCTCCTCTTCTCCAAGGACTTGGACCAAAATGAAAACCCCTTGTCTGAGTAGTGGGGATGAGCGAGGCTGCTCCAAGGCCTCATGGTGAACCCCTGGTGGACAATGGCCAGCCTGGAGCGTGGCACTAACTGCCCCAGGAGCTGCCTGGGACACAGGAGGGACCAGCCCCATCTCCCACCTAATGCTAAYGATGCAGCTCAACTGTGTCGCAGACCAAAAGCTCTGCCAAACAGTGGGGTCCCGGCTGCCTGCAAGACCTCCCGTTCTTCACTGCCCACAACTGAGGTGACTTCAAACACAGGGCACTGCAGCAGAGGTCTCCAAGGCCCTACGAGTAGGCAGCAGGCTTGAATCACCCATGACTTCTGCTAGGGCTTTGCAGCTCTCAACTCTTCATCTTAGATGGCACCAAACATGCACAGCTCCTCTGTGGGACAGCCCCTGCTTGTCCCTGCTTGTCCTTCCTGTGCTCCAATCCCGGAGATCCCTAAGGCCACCAAAAGGACTGAAGCAAAGAATGAAGCACGGYGAGAGAGGCAGGAACTTGAAAAGCGGAGGGTATCTGATATTCTGTAAATAACAAGTCCAATTCTGCGAAGCCGCAGGCTGACATCGTGTTATATATCAATGCCCTTGCAGGGAAGCCTGTCCGCTTTGCAATAAAAATGTGCGTTGGGAGGAAAAAAGGAGTAAGGATGAAAGCAAGAAGAATGAAAACAGTTGCAGATACAAGGCAGAATAAAGGATTTATAAGTGTTCAAGCAATTTCTGCTTTGTCAAGACTGATCTTTTCAGGTATTCCACTTTGTCTCCTGTGCGTATTTCAAACACAGGAAAGACTGGCTGGAAGGGAGCCAGGATCCAGCCTCAGGCACTGATTAGTGAATCCGTTTGGGGAAGCACGCTTATCTTTGACAGACAGGGAAGTTTCCAGGAGTCAGACAGATTGGCAGCTGTCAGACACAGCGCCTGGCTATTTAGCGGGCAGGGAGATGCTGGCATGAGGCATTCCCAATCCCATCTCCTGCAGCCACCTCTCAGGACATGTATGTGTAATTTTACTTCCTCTCTTGCGCTCCTCACACACAATCCTTATCTCYATGCAGTTTCTGGGCGCAGTTCTGGCTGCCCAGGGAGGCTGTGGAGTCTCCTTCTCTGGAGATCTCCACAACCCACTTGGACACAACCTGTGCCACGTGCTCTAGGTGACCCTGAGTGTGCAGGAGGGTTGGACTAGATGATCTCTAAAGGTCCCTTCCAACCTTAAGGATTCTATGATCAGCCCTGGGGATTCTCTTAACCCCTTAAAACCAACTTGGGCTCTGCAGCAGGACACCAGGCCCAGTCCCCATGAGCTCTGTGGGAGCCGGCAGAGCCCCACGCGATCGCCAGGTGCCTACCTGAAGCCCTGGGGGCAGAGGCAGGTGTAGCCGTCGACGGCGTCGGCGCAGGCGGCGCCGTGCCGGCACTTGTGGCCCACGCAGTCGTCGGCGTCGACCTCGCAGTGCTTGCCGCTGTAGCCGGGCGAGCACTCGCACCTGCAAGGCAAGGGGGCTGCCATGAGTGCCGGCACGAGGCACCCCAACCCGGGGCACCCCAACCTGCAGCACCCCAACCCACGGCACCCGCTGCACTCGCGGTGCGCCGTCCCTGCACTCGCCCCTTGCCCAGCCCACCAGGGTTTCTGGTGCAGTTTTGTTGCATGGATGTTGCCTCGCACAGTTTGCAACCTCACTGCAGAAAGTCTGTCCCAGGTCTCTGGCTAGGACTGGACCTTTGGGGATTGCTGAACAGCCTCTTTCGGAGCCTATAGTTTGGACAAATGTTTATTCATGGACACATTTTAGTCCATAAAACACAGTGCAGTGCTCCCAGCTGGATTTTACTGCACATCTGGAAAACAAGGACTGCATCGCTCCAACCCAAACAAGGGGAGGGACGAGATGACTTCCCGGTGCGTACGAGGGGTGTGCGCCCCTGCTCGAGGCCCTGCTTGCAAGGTGCAGGGGGGACGGGGCCACACAGAGTCTCGGGGTCCCCATGGAAGAGCCCAGCATGACCCCCTGAGACCGCAGGGCGGGTGCTGCTCCTGCTCTGCACGTCCCAGTTGCATTTCTGCATCGTGGTGGCTCAGGGCGCGTTGCCATCAGCGTAACGGAGATGACAAAACACAGCAAAAAGGAAGAGGTCTGACCTGCCCCAACTGCAAGCAGCGGGCAGTGTTTTTCGGCAAGATCTCAGTCACACCTGAGAGCAAATCATGTCAATCAAAGGACCTTGTGGGGGGAATTGGCAGCATTTAATCCTGTTGCTTTTTATTGATCTCCGCAGTCCTAATATAAAGTGATGTAATAATGAACGATGTGCAGCGCCTCACTCGGGGCTGCCATGCATCACTTTTATGATGTGTATTGGCTATCTCTCTAATGACAGAACCACCACTTTTCTCTGCAGGGCTGCATTAAATCAGCGTTTTAAGCTGTCAGGTAATAATTCCAAAGCCTTAGAATAATAAAGTATATTTATACCATGTTCCAACATCACGGCGGTGAATGGAAAAACATGCTTCTTTCCTTAAGATGTTTTTCGAGAAGCCATTTCATTGTGTTAAATGGCGTTTTTTGTCTGGCAYACAGAAGGCTACCCTGCTTCTACAACAACGGCGCGGGAAAGATCTGGGGGCTGGAAGTGAGAAAAGCCACCTGCAATTCCAGCTTAGAAAGCACAGAGCCCTGCACAGCCAAACACGCACCCAAACGCTTCAGCTTGCTTCCAAGCTTGGCTTTCCCTTTGCAGTCATGGAATTCCTTTTTGGCCAGTCGTTCTTGAGTTTATGGTGTGTCACATGCCAGCCAAGGATACCCAAAACGCCTGCCTGGAGCGTCGCAGGTGGGAAGGGTGGCGTGGGGACACCAGCAGCTCCCGGGACCCCAGGCTCCTGTCCCCTGCAACCCGCGCTGTGACCCCGTCCATCACTGCCAGCGAGGGACTGCAGAGCAGCACAGGGACAACACGGTGAAGCACTGGGCACACATGCTGTCATATTCGGCTCCTCAGCAGGAAAGACTGAATTGGTAGGACCAGCTGGGGTGTCCCATGTTCCCAACTCCTATCCAATGGCAGCACACTGGGGAGCTGCTTTCTGCTATAGCCTGGCAGCGATGGCAACATTCCCAGGAAAAAGAGCCTAAAACACATGTCCCTGGGCATTCAAAATGTTGGCCTATACACAGAGATTTGCATCTGTATGCACTCAATAGCTGTATTATTAACTCTATCAACTCATGGTTTCCACTGTAGGGCCAAAATGGAATTTCCCTCCACATATCAAGAGCCAAATTACAGCTTGCTATTTTTTTTTTTGCTGTTTCTTCATAATCTTTTTGCTCCCTCTGTGGATCTCAGGTGCGCAGGCAACAAACTGGCAAAGAGTGGACAAGATGCCCAAGCAGGGCTTCATCTCCTCCAGGCACTGATGACAGCACAGGAGCAGAGCTTCTCCTTGAGGAACGAGAGCCACCATGCAGCACCACGAAAGCTGTAGAGCTGAAAGCTGCAGAGCTGAAAGCCGTAGAGCTGAAATCTCAGCCCATTTCTGAATTGGTTGTTACAACCAAGGTATGCAAGGAAAAGCAGTGCGGGGACAAAAGTACTTTCAAGGAAAGCAAGGCTAATTCACCCCACCAACCTGCCCTGCTAGAAAGCAAAATGGTAGAGAAGAGGCAGAGAAATCCTGTGTTTTGACTAGCAGTCTGTGAAAAATGGGAATAAAGATGCCAACAGTGGGAGAAAATACTCAGGGTTTGGTCTCCCTGCAAAGGTTAAGGACAGCGCTGCAAAGAGCACCATTCGATGCTCCTTTCTGGTGAGTGGACAAAYGAGCAAGTGTCTTATCAACCCAAAGTACTCTGGTCTGAAAACACCTCCAGCAAGGGGAATATTGCTCAGGTCCCCAGCAGTCCCCATGCCTTCATTTACATTGGGATCTGGGCAATCTGAGCTACAAGCCTTTTCCTCCTAATGTGCCCTAACTACTGGATTAGCTGGATGATGGATTAGCTGGGAATGAAGGCTGGAAAGAACATCAGGGATTGCCCATTAGCAGCACACGCCTCCTCCTCCACCCCCCGTGCATCGCTCAGGAACTGTCTGGATGATTTAGCAGCTTTGTCTTCCTTGAGAGTTGGAAACATGTCTGTCTGGAGGTTTTTTTACTCAAAAGCAAAGTATGAGTTGTAAATACTGTCTAGCACGGTAGCCAGCTCCACTAAAACCTTGCCTTGCCTCTGTGTACCTGTCATGAAATGTATTGTGTGRTGGTTTGCACCCTTCTGACGTGCATGTGAGCCCAGGCTGACCCAAGCTGCAGGAACCGAGGAAGWCCTAACAGCGTGGTGGCCATCCCAGGGGCTCCTTGCTGGGGGTGCTGGGAGGCTGCCACTCTCCAAAACCCCAGCCTTCCTCCCAGGGAGCCGGTGGGCTCTGGGGAGACCCTCAGTCATATGATYTGCCCACAGAAGTTTCTTCTTTTCTCCCTCCTTCTTAGTAATTAGTGAGGAGTGGATGTTAAGCCGTGAGTCAGCACTGGAGGAAAACTGAGTTACATCCATTGTATCTCCTCATGCTTAGGCTGTGTGAACTGATGGCTGCCCAAAGGAAAACCTAAGGAAATTCCCGATGTAGGCTAAGGTGTTTTGCAGCCTCTGTTTCACAAGTGCTCCTTTTGTCACGCTCYGGTTCAAGAATAATTCTCTGCTCTGAGGCACATCCATCACTTCCAAGTAAACCTCAGACAGCTGAAGAAATACATACAGTTGCCTTAATATGCAATGTGATGTATAGTCATGCATTTTTTAAATTAATTTTCTTATTTTGCTCTTTGCCTCAAACTCCCTGCCAGTTCAACCCTATCCAAGCAAATGGATCTGACCTCTCCACTCACACACTCACCTGAATCCCTTGTCGAGCGGGATGCACTTGGACTCGTGCTGGCAGGGATTGAGCTCGGGAATGCAGTGGTTGATCACCTCATCACACAGCTCACCTGAGGCAAAAGAAAAGCAAAATGCTGTAAGACAATGTTGACTGGAATTCTATGAATCAATAATATCTATTTTTCATGAGGATTCAGCCACCTGAGCTACAACCACATAMTGTTTATATCACATGAATTTGAAAAGCTGGACTAAAAAGTATTTATATATATGTCCCACTTGGGAACAGATTATTGATTACACAGATAGATCCTGACCCAAGGGCTCCTATATCAAAGCAAGTGACACAAAAGTTAAGATACTCATTAGAACCGAACATTTTCACATCCAAACTTATGCTAATCATAGCCAATATGCTGCCACAGAAGAGGATCGAGCCCCATTCTGGGAAAAACAATCCACAAACCCTCCCTCCAAACCTCTGCAATAATAGGATCCAGCTTTAGGACTGCATGTAATTACAAAGCATTCACTATTTATAAGAAAAGTACTAACTCTATTGTGCTCACAGGAGATGCTGTCTTTTCAGAGGAAAAGAAATCCCTGTAAGCTCAGCTCAGATGTTTCTAGGTATTGTATGTAACATGCCACACGCCTCCCAGGATTTGTTTAAATTTTAATAATTCATAGCTCTACAATGCTCACAACCAGATAATTTATTTAAACACCACCCTTCTCGGAGTCCTAAATTATCAGGTCACACTTCAATACCTCAGGATTTGAGATCCAGCCAGAGACTGCTCAGAAATCTTTGCCTTCCCATGAAAACAACAGAAAACTACCCCAAACTCCTCAAAGCAGGAGAAGCAAAGGTCAAATATTCTCACCAAGGAAGCCCTCAAAAGCTGCAGTCCCCAAGCCCCCTTGCAGCAGTGTCAGCAGGGCACATCTGCAGCGTTTGGAGGCTGGGTGCAGTGTGTGTGCCTATGTGCAGGACACACCACACCATGCGAATGGCAATTTGCTGTCTCTGATAGTGGAAAAACAGGAAAAAATACAGTGCGGGAGGCACAGGTTCCTCCACAACTTTCTGCAGCGCTTTCATGAGGCTGCAGCTCCACCTGGCTAGGGACAATCTCCACATTTAAAAAGATTTATACATGCAGCTCTAGTGGCTACAGAGAAAAGCTTGACAATACAACACAGATGACCCCCAAGACCAAGCTCAGGCCGTGTCTGCTCATGTCGACTCAGCAGGGATGACGGGCAGTACAATCCAAAGGCTGACATGAAGGAGGAATGCAGGGAGGAAGGGGCCAAGCTCTTCTCAGTGGTGGCCAGGGATGGGACAAGGGCAATGGGTGTAAGCTGCAACACAGGCAGTTCCATCTGCAGGTGAGGAGGAACTTCTTCCCTGTGAGGGTGGCAGAGGCCTGGCACAGGCTGCCCAGGGAGGCTGTGGAGGCTCCTTCTCTGCAGGTCTTCAAAACCTGCCTGAACATCAGCCTGTGCCACATGCTCTGGGTGTCCCTGCTGGAGCCGGAAGGTCTGGATGATCTCTAGAGGTCCCTTCCAACATCAACCATGCTGTGACTCTGTGACCGTGGCAATGACAGCCACGGGCTAAGCTCTAACCACCCCCACTCCCTCCTCCTTCAATCTATTTCTCCCACAGCTCCTGCCTCACCACGGCACAAYCTACATAGCTCCCACTTCACTCATCGCATTAGACTGATAAAATAGTACAGTTCTGCAAGAATAAATCAAAATGGTTTTGCTTCAAACAGGGAACATCTAATATATCTGCTTGTGAGAGTAAAGCATCAGTGGTCAAGCACCATGAGAAAGGGGGCTATTAACAGCAGCCCTGGAGCCAGTGCTGTTAAAAATGTTTAGAGCTGTGGAGAAATCTTGGACAAATGTCATGATCCATCCAGCTGAATGAGGRGGACACACCAACAAAACAGAGGGCTGCACATCTACAGAAACAGATCATCCTTGGGCCCTTGGGTTGCCTCTTGGAGGCTGGTGTTCCTCAAAAGCAAGTGGGGCCATTCAAGCCACAGCCATACGAACCCAGCTGGAGACAGTCAGGAACACATTTCTGAGGTGGCACAACTGGAAATAGGTCTATTTACTTCATCCACCCCCAAATCCATGGCCCCCTATCCAACCTAACACAAGGTGAGGAGCCCATGGTCCCCAGGCAGACGTTACCACCAGCAGGTCAGAACCTGGCCCAGCCCTGGGGCCTCTCTCCATTTGTCTTCTTCTTACTCGTTATTGCTCTTACCAGGACAATACAACATATGAATCGTACGGTAAAATAAATATGAGAAAAAAGCAACTGGCCGGTGACATTAAAAGAACACGATGATCTAAACCTGGAAATATTTTCAGAAGACATCATTTAATACCAAAGCACAGTGTGCATAGATGCCTTCAATTGTCATTTTGCTAAAAAGGTCCAACAAAGCCTTTTCAGCCTTATTTTTATCTATTTATTTTGAAGAAAAGGAAACAGGCTTTAAGAAAAAATAAGAACAGCTTCATAAACTCTCAAAGGAAACCATAATTCTCCTTAAAGTATTCTTCTCAGCAGTCTTGACAAGTGCTTAAAGATCCAGTGAAAATCTCCCAGAATGTATACACTTGTCAAATATTATGACTCACTGTGTCATACTGAAGGCTCCGCTATCAAAATTTAGGAGAATTCCAGGCTTGGTACCAAACACAGCATCCAAAAATTTATCATTTTTCATGTGAGRCTTGGAATGCTCGAGGATCCTTCCTGTTATTTTTCCTCATCTATCACTCATTACAGAGCTCACTTGGGAGYGTCTTGCAACTTGAGCAGCCTCATCTCAGGGAAGAAATTCTTCTTGATAAATTATTTCGGGCCCCACCAATGTTCACTGGACGCTGCAGAAAGCATGCCAGGGAAATAAAACACTTTCTGAAAAGCAAAACCCAAGGCACTTGCTAGACAAAGACTTTTTTATATTTTATTAAGTCAGAAAATATTTGGGCCAAAAAATCTGCCCTCAGACCTGAGGGTGCTATGTTCATTGGCCACTTTAATGTGAGTATCAGAGGAAAAATCTGATCCTCTCTGCTTTTCGGAGTGACACGAGGCTGCCTCTGTGTAGCAATTAAAGGTCTCTTCCAAGTTTCTCAGTGGATAGTTATGTGAATCTGAAAACGAACCCTACATTAATCTCAGGCCAGCTTCGAGCAGCATTAACGCTCTTTGTGGAAGGTTTCTGATGATGCCAAAACAACAGAGAACTTCAATGCAATGCGCTCCCAAAGCTACAAGACCTTTCTCCTCTTTCCTATATATTCTCAAAGCAGAGCCCCGGTTTGGGTCTCTGAAGTGCTACAAGACAGGAAAACAAAATCTATATTTCTCTTCTAATCAGCTAAACGAAACCTTTATCCAAAATTGTGGTTTTTGTTTCCTTGAGGCTCACCCACACCCTTTCAGGAAAGCAGATCCATGTGCAAGGCATCCCATCGGGAAGAGGCTCTGTCTGGCCTGGAAGAGGAAAGGAGTTTGTGCCATTGGATTTTACCTTTAATGGTAGCTGGATGAACTCAAGGTAAGGCAAGGCAAGAAGCTCGGCAAGGCAAGAAGCTGGGCACAACCTCAGTTGTGGGACCACTGCTTTTCAGATTCCCTAAGGTCAGCAGGAACCAGCTGGTAACTAGTGCCTGCTTCAGAAAAGGAAGCGTTACACAGATGAAGAAAGGAGGTCTGCTCTGTGTCTCCTATAATGCGACAATTTGTACTGATAGGCTGCTAACAGGTGACTGCTCACTGCTGCTGCCTCATGTATTAAAAAGAAAAGTAAAAAAAGATAAGGAAGGAAGGGGGACTTTGGCTGCTGAAACAAGAGAAAAGGCATTTGGCCTCTTTGGAAGCATTTCCCTTGTCCCCTTTACCAGCAATGCCCACTGCCTTCCAAAAAGCCACAACTCAGCACTCATCATCTCATGCACCATTTCCCTGCTCCTATTTCTTCAGCAAAATCCTGGATTTCATGGGGCTTTCACGGAGACTTTTCACAGGGCTGCTTATTAGGAACTGCCAAGAGACAGGCTCCTACTTCGCTGCACTGCTCAGAGGGAAGCCAAAGCAACAACAGAGCAATAACGATGGTTTTCACACGCAGCTTAATAATCAACTTTTGTTTTTTTCCATTCTGCGTTGTCAAAAGAGCTATYTATTTCATACCACAATAGACTTTTAAAACTAGGATCCAAGTTACACTATTTCTCCTTAATCGGCAGAAGAGGAGCTTGGATRTGGCAATGGGATTTTATTTATTTATCTGTAAATAAAACTAGAGGTCTGAAGAGACCCCATGGCCCACCAATTCGTAACCAGTGACTTCTCAAGCCTGGTTTCCCGACTCACTTTGGTTATCCCGTGGTCTCTCATTCGGGATATTCCTGAAAAGGTTAATAAGGCAACATGGAAAACATTCTCACCTCGCATGAGAGGCACTTTCGTAGGGCCTGGAACACTAACAGCAAAAATGCTGTCAAGAATTTCACAATATTACTTGAGGAAAGGATGGAGACAGCCTGGCCCTTATCCATGCAGCAAACTTTTACAGGCTGCACAGGGAGAAGATAGATATTTGAGTGGCTGAACAGTATGTTGCAATTCTCTTAACTTTGCCAGGTAAGGCAAAATGCAACTTGTCCCTTTACTGGCAATAAAAATATATTGTGCTGTTATTCTTGTAAGAGATTGCTCAGTTGGTATCTAATAGCTTGCACTCAAAGAAATGCTTTTTGTGCTTTGTTTTGCCCTTCTGTCTTCTCAGTTATTAAAAAAACCCCAAAAGTCAGTGCCAATTGGAAATATCAGGAGCACAGAGAACTTAAAATTGCCTGGGAGGACCAGGTTGGCCTTGTGATGCACTAGGAGAGGGGGTRCCAAGAAAATACTTCAGTCAGGAATTTTGTTTGATGAAGAAGATTTAAGGCTTGTCTTAGAAAATAAAAAATAAAATCCAAGCTTGCAATGAAGAAAAAAGCCTTTGTGAGAATCCTTCAGTAGCAAAAGCACTCAGCTATCACGTTAGATATCAAAACCCCA